CTTAAGATTACCTAGACACGCAAATAACGATTGATGAGCTTTTACACTTCCTTATTATCATTCAACTTTATCTACTTACTCTGTCAATGCAAAACAAATGAGTAGGTTCGTTTTCAACGAAAACAAAAACATCCGCAAAATAAGTGCGGATGTTATCTTGAAAACAAATATTTATTTTATTCACAGTCGTCACAATATTTCTTTAGCAAATAAATATATTTTCTCCCGATTTCCGTTCGTAAGGTCGGCCGTACCCTGTATGATACATAAATAAATTCATGTGACTGAAAAAACCCGCTTAAAAAGGCTTTGGAATGAAGAATCCCATTCAATAACTCTTAGCGTTGGTCTGGAGATTGACAAATTGTATTTTGTTTGCTTTTCCCTGAAATAAGGCGTCGTTCATTGGTTCAAGTTTTTTTATTAATATTTTACTTTATTGTTTTCGGTTGTTTATTATTTAACGTTACTAAAAAAATGCTAGAAAATTTACTTTTACTAAACAGACTTTGTTTAATTGAAATGACGGAATAAATAGATTAAAGCAAATTACACTATAATTATGTTGGTCGTTCTTATTTACTTATAGTCATCGTTTAAGAAATATTTTCTTTCTCTCTAATATATCATTAAAAATATCAATAGTTTTCTAAAATATTTATTCAATCAACGGACATGAACAGAGCTTTATATATATGTATATAAGCATGAATGAAAGTTTTTGTCGAAATTAAATTTCAATGTAGGAAAACCTAAAGCAATTTTGCGCAAACGCTTTTAAAAATGCGTTGAGGTATCACGGAGGGGAAGTTTTTGCTTTTTTTCGAGTTTACGTTTGATTCTGAACAAAATTAATTACATACGAAACGGCAGTTGAATTATTTATTAACAAATCGACTTTCTTGGTTTAACTTTTTTACACGTTCTGACTGCTTGATTCGTTTCACACACGGGACTCAAAACCACGAGATTTCAAGCTATTGCTCTGTCCTATATAGTGTCTGTTATGTCATACACATTTTTAAAGGTCCTTGCATAAGCTCAGTACTATTGTTAAATATTTATTTTTTATAAGGGGCTGCATACAGGATAAGATGGATCCCTAAATATTTTCCCATACTGGATACTTTGGCTTTTGCTGTTAATACTTCATATATAATAATGCTGTACAAACTAATAAAAAAGACAATATTTTATAATTTTCGTAAATCAAATAAATGATCTATTTATGTAATGTACGATAACGAATGACAAGATAATTAATCCAACATTATCGATCACAAATAAAGATTAAAGTAGGGACAATGTCCAAATTAATCAATATTGTCTGTGTCGATACAGATTAAACAAAATTAGACTTACTTTTGGTTTCAGTTTCTATTGGAAATAATGTCAAAAAAGATTTTCACAATTACCCTTAACATCGCAATTATAAATAACAAAATTTGGTTTTATGTTATTCAATCAGTATAACAGGTGTTTCAGTACCTTTACGTCATGAAATGGAAAATCTTACTCGAGTTACAATATAGAACCATTATATTAGGTTTAAATATGGCTTTTTCTTTGAAAAATTTAAGGTCCTACACATAAACAAAAATGCGACATTTTTCTACCTTTACTCGATTATCAAACTTTGAACGGTCTTTAAGTTAAATGAACAATAATCAATTATATTAAATGTAGAGCTATAAGGAAGACATTGTAACTCCATTAATGACAGTTATCATTAAAACGTCGCCTTGGTTTCGAGTCGTCTAGACGATAGTCCACAGAACTGTGTCAATAGCAACTCAATCGAATTGTCATTGGAACGATTCGCGATTTCTTCGATTGTAACCGTATCTCTTACATTTTGTAAGTACTGTCTGTAATTTACAAAGTATGTACAAGATTACACCATTAATACATATTTTGCTACTAACAGTGTATAGCAAAATATGTATTAACGGTTTAAAATGCAAAATAATCTACTCCATAACTACTGGCGCTATAGCTTCTACAGAGCATCGTCGAAGAAATAATTGGTTATTCTTATACATATATGAAGCTGCTAGAGAGTCATACAACAAAAAATATGATTTTCAATAAGGAGGAAAATAAAAATGAGCAATTAACTAAGACGAAAAATCGGTCACTGTACTCTTCTAGATTAACATTTTTAGACTATGAATATATCAATACTGTCATAAAATTGCACTTAGGCTACTCTGCCTCTAGTGGCCTCAATTCATTATTAATCACGCACCATTTCGCGTGTTAGATCAAACATCTTACCTAGTGTATTCTTTGTTATACATTTTCTTCTTAATGAAGTTTTGCAATCTCGGCTCGTGTATATCATGCAATATTTCAAAATTGTTGCATATTATTCGCGTTTGAATCGCGGCTTATCAGTGGCCCACGTGCCTGTCAGCACGTCCACACTCTTTGATAACGCGTTTGGTCGTTACGTGTTACACCTTTCACCACTGGTTTACTAGGAAAAACTTTTACCAAGACTGAAAAAACACTACAAATGCAACTAAGAACATATAACTATTAGGATATCTCGATAGAGAGAGATATTATCTTATAATAGCTAAATTCCATACGTGTTACTTTTATTTGTATTATTTAGGAGAAATACTTAGATATCTTGTACAAAAAATCTATAAATTTTCCATAAACTTGTTATAAAGTTTAATTTAAGAAATGTCACAATATTTACGATTGTTAAAATATGTATATTATTCGTTATCTATTCATTTGTTGGTTTTTTTTATTGATACGACCCTTTTTATTGCTTCCTTATAATATTACCGGCCTATAAACGATTATCACCTGTGGAATTTATAAAACGATTTACGTAAAAAAATTTAAACGTACTTATCTATCTATCTATACTAATATATACAGTTGAATTTGTGTGTTTGTTTGTTTCAAAGCACTAATCTCAGGAACTATTAGTTCGAATTGAAATTTTTATTTTTTGTATTGGTTAAAGCAGTTATCGAGGAAGGTTATAGGCTATAAAACATAGCGCTGTAACTAATAGTAGCAAAGAAGCAGCGGGAAATGTTAAAGAAAACGGGGGAAAATTTTCATCTCTGTGGGTCTTCAATGCGTACGCTGCGAAAACGGTGCAAGATACCCAAAAAATATGTATGAAAGAATAATTTTCAATTATCTAAAAAATATCCGCGACACTTAAGTTTACATACATTATTTTCATTTGTTTTATGGTAGTTTAAGTGTAAAAAAAAAAACATTTGTATATAGGCATAATTCCGGTTAAGAAGGCACAATCTTAAATATTGACTTTATGTACCACGAAACCGAGAAAACTAATGTAAAAAATAAACACAGACTTGAAAATTTCCTTTCCAAACAGGGACGCTCACGTTTGTTCAAAGAAAGAGGAAAGAAAGATCACGACACATTATTTATTTTTCAAAAACATAAACTTGTTATGGGACCAACAAAACTTACACCTTTTTATTAAATCAAAAGAACGGAAATAAAAAAAATAACATGGAATATAAATAAGCTATTCTACTTTTTATATATGATTGTTAGTACAAAGAGACTTCCTGATTTTATTTTGAAGCAGCTATCATAACTTCTCCTCGTCCATTCCCTCTTTTCAGATAATGTCTGTCTTTCGGATATAACTTATTTAGAATGACGAAATAGCTGGTCATGTACTGGGATACTTAAAAAATGTCATCAATGTCTTACGTATTAAACAAAGAAATGTTTATAGTGTCGTACCTATGTTTGCATACTTGACTCGACTCACAATGACGCAATCTCCACTTCAGCAAACATCTGACGTAGAAATTTCATTTCTAGAATAAATATTACTACTGTATCACTGGGAAATACACTTAACAAAAGAAAAATAAAACATTGAGAAGATATTTTCGATACATTCTCCAATATCAATTAAACTAAAGTCAAATTATGGGTTTGGTAATTTTATTAAAATAATAATCATTGTAAATCTACAATTATGCAAAGTTCCGTAAATAAAATAATAGTAATTACAAAATAATACCACCTCGTCCTCATCCAATAGAATTTATCGAAAATACAAAATGATAGTACCTATCTCAATACCATAAATATTTATATGACCGATGTATAACCCTCTATATTTGTAGATATATATAAACATAGTTAATCACAGATACATCAACAATTGTTTCCACACGAGCAATAAAGGCAATTAGTTACAATTGACAGCAGTAATAGCCAAAACTAGGTTACTTCCATGTATTGAATTGATGTTGATGTTTTACTTATTTCTTAAGATATTAAGAATTTTAGTAGTATGTAAAAAATAAAAAACAAAACGAAAAAATAATTAACTCAAAACACATCTAGATGTGATAAAATGTGGTTGCATTTCAGAGATTTGACCTATTTTTTCCGTATTTAATGGCATACTCACACATCGTGTTTATAGTTTCAAAGTGTTTCTCGTACTACAAAGTAATCTTATAGTACACATAACTAATGATTAAGTCAAACATAACAACATTTTATGCACTTGGCGGTGCTGTGACGTACTATGTACATATTATAACCATTATTTAAACAAAAATACTTTAATGGGTCAATGATTTTAAAATATCACGCATTTGCTTTGCCAAAATTTTGATCCAATTTTCCAAAAAAACATTTCAAAAAATACATCATAGCAGAAACCATTGGCCTTATACTTATAAGAAATGTTAAATGTGTGAGCGGTTTATGTATTATTTTGTTTTGTAATTATTTGTCATCCAAATAAGTCCCCAATTTTTTATTTACTTGTCGGCTTGAATAACACTATTTTGAAAAGGACGCCCCAATCCTGTCCTGTCTCTTAATAGGACATTGTGAGAAAGAGTTAACACTATTAATCAATAGCGTTGTCTCTCTCGTTTTGGTGACGTTAATATACTAAAAGAAAAAAATTGCTGTTTAAAAGACCAGTTAGCTCACCAAATAATCTTTTTATCTCTTGTCCACAGGATCGCAACGAAAACAACGCAGCCGTTCCACGTGGCTTTAGCCATCTTAGTCGTCGGTGCTTGGCTGAGCCAGCCGGGATCCAATAGCAATCTTCGTGGTTGGAAGGCATTGTATGTAGCAGCAGTTGCCACGCACCTGGGTGCACAAATTTGGATGACTTTGGTTTCCGGTAAGTCTCATAAAGATTTGTGATTTCAATATTTCCTAAAAGTCAATACTGCAAACCTTTTTAAACTTTTTTAGAAGGGTTTATTTAAAAAAAAGGTGTGTCCATCTCTATGTTCAATAAATTCAAGGCAGCAACAACATGCCAGGTTAAAGACAGCAAATGAACCTAATTTAAATCCTTATTGTTCGGAGAAATGTGTGCGGGCGCATTCTCGGAAAATCGATGTAGCTCGCTTGAAATTACAGAGTAGTCGCTGTCTCCGCCACAAGACGACTGGGTCATTTGCTGTCTGTACCGCAAACAATCACAATAAATGTATATGTTATATCTTTGATTCGTAAGCGTATTCATTTTCACTTAGGTTAGGTAATTTTTAACGGAAATTGACGAACTTAAAAGGTCCATACTTTATTTATTTATCGCCAAAAAGTTCAGGATATCTTTCTTCTGTTCTGCTTTTTTTCGTATTGTTAAATGAAGTTTTCATATATATATATACTTATATAGATATCCCTTGGTATTTTTATTAATCTTTTGTGCCTGTTAGAATCGTGAATAATAAGCTATTTCCCAAAATGCATTCGCTCTTTTTAAACTCTCCGAATTGTATTTCAACATAAATTAAAAACCAATTTTGTTTTGAAAGCAATTAGTAACTTCCTTACATAATGTATAATTGCAAGTTCTTGTTCCATAAATGCCTGTATGAATGTTTGTAATGTCACATTAAGTGATTTTAAAGAAAAATTTAATACAGTTTTAATAGTAATTAAAAAGTTTCAGGAATGATTCTTGCTTCCTAATTGAAGCACTTACTCTTCAAGATAACTTTAATGTTTTGAATTTCTATGAATATTCCATAGAAATAAAATATGATAAAGTAAACCTTATATATCAATTTGTATAATACCACTTTAAACCACAGACCCACACAACTAATTTGCATAAAATTTACTTAAGGATTTAATGTTTTCAGCATAGACTTTTTCAAAAAAAAATGTAATAAGGTAAATGTAGCGTGAAATAGTAATTTGAAGTAAACACTATTAACGGTTCAAATGCGACAAATATTTAAAAAAAGTTAACTCCATAAATAAATTTCACGTTTTCATCAATTGTTTTGTTTAATTGGGTTCTACTCGGATTAACTACAGAGAATACAGTAAGTTCTCGGATTTGATTTAAATAAAACCGTTTAAACGCGATATATTAGTTCAAGTTATTTGAAAATGATTTTTAACTTCGGCCCGACGTTTCGGATTTGATGATAAATGATTATATTAAATAATACTACGCTTTCCTCGATTTCTTTTCTCATTGTCAAATGATAATTTTCTCTTTTTATCCTCAATGTTTGGTTCGAGAAAATGTTCAGACAGGATCGATGTACTATTATCTACTTAAATCCGGCCGAGACAATTGAATGAACATTATAATTTTTCCACCTTTATCATTCTGACCTTCGTATTATTTATCTCATTGACAGTTAAATTCTAATAGAGATAAGACACCAAACGAACTTTTTAAAATGGGCGCGGCTAAATTAACTTATGTTTACTAAGAGACCCGCAAGACGTGTAAAATAATTATACGAAAGAACATACTACTAATGTCTTTTCATAATCTATACTAATATATAAAGCTGAAAAGTTTGTTTGAACGTGCTAATCTCAAGAACTACTGGAATTTAAAAAATATTTTTGTGTTGTTTAGAGCATTTATAGAGGAAGGCTTTAGGCTATAAAACATCGCCCTGAGCAAAGAAACAGCGGGAAATGTGTTATAAGCGGTTAATTATTCTTGTGGGTTTTCGTTGTATGCGCTACTAAAACAGATCAAGATAGGCAAAAAATATGTGTAAAAGAATCTTTTCCTCTTTGGAAATCCCCGCAACAGTATGTCTATCTTTTATAATAACTTGAAAGAACGTCGGGACGCGGACGTCGTTGTCGGTAACAGTTTAAATTTATAGAATTGAACAGGAGGTTACCAAAAACAATGTCGGTTCGACTGTACGTCCTGGTAATCCCATCGTTACGTATATTGCTTAAATATGTACAAATTAAAATCTAAGATTATATCTGCCATAAGTTAAACCTTTACACAAACTACAAGGCTAAGTGCAACAAAATTACCACAAAGGTTATAAGTGTTGACCGTAAACAATATAATTCATGAACAGCCGTAAAGTAAATATTTACAGAACAAACACATTTAACATTGCAAATAATATGACGATTACTAGTGTATTAGTTTTGAGTACTTATGTACTCTTTATAGAGCGGGCTCATTTGAAGCACTGATTTATTCCAAATACGGTATCATTTTGTAAAAAATTTAGTGTTTTACCAATTATAATTTAAATACCGTCTGAAGTTGATCCCAGTAGTATATATGTACATAAAACACTTTAACGGTTTAAAGTACATACGAATACTCCTATATATCGCGTTTTAAACCGTTAAATTGTTTTAATTAAAAGTATAATTTTCATTTAAAGCTATCAATTCAATGTAGATTCTTTGTCCCGATTCATTTTTATTTCACAGTTACACATAAAAACAAAAGTAGGTTTTTGTATCATTAATAATTCTAAAGATTAACTAACATATACTTTGCTCTTCATATAATATATGTTAGTTACTGTACGTTTAGCACTCTATTAGATTTAATATGGACATATTATATTTATATTTGCAACAAAACATATTTGTTTATTCTTAGGAAGTAGGAAGGAGGACTAATTTTGAATCACTTTATTATGTACATATTTCTAAAGATAGGATGTATGTGTTAAATTAGAATCTATTCTCTGGTATTGTTTGTGTGGAAGAGGTCCTAAAAATTTTATTAAGATGAAAGTTTTATGTACATTGACAGAAGCGTGGCTGCCTCATACCTCACGTAGAGAAATTGTAACTTGACACATTTTTTTCTTTATCTGTAAATGGGAAATATGAAATTCTGTTCTGAGTCTGCCCTATAACTAACATAAGGTATACGGAGTGTAGAGTATTATAGAATGAACAAATAAAAAGCAGGAAAATAAATCGTAATATCGATAAAATTTTCCACTTTGATAGCTCGAAGTGTTTGTGTTTAGAGTGACGTTATCTTTACGCACATTGATAAGAACAAAACTTAAATACTCATACGCAAAAAGGACAAGATTTAACCAAATAATAGCTTTAGAAATGAGGATTCGCTCCTGTTAAACCAAGGCAACATCACCTCATAAACAAAAAGTATGGTTTTCTATTTAAAATGCGAGACATTATAGTTGTGACCACGGTTAAAAAGCATATGAAACATTAACTGACCAGTCGTAGTTAAAAAGTTGACTAGTACCACTTGCCTGGTACATACAATACAATGTATAAGCCAAATTGTCGATCATTTCGAGAGAAAGAACTTGAATGTAGTTCATCAATAATTGAATTATTTAATTTATATTGTCTAAGGCTAATAAACTATCTCTCTCTTTCACAGGAATCGTGCTATACTTCTCTCTTCCTCGCCACGAGTTCGGTCGCGTCCAGACAATTTTGTTCCCGGTCTACTATGCCTTCAATGCCGGAGTTAGCCTGTTAGCAATACTCGCCTATTTCCGGACACAATGTCTTACTCAATTCGTTAATACGTCCTGGATACAGGTAAGAAATTTTCCCTTATACATTTTAAATATTTGGTCTTATTAATAACAATACAAGACAGTATTATCTTTCACATTGCACACAAAAGGTTTTGGTTTAAATGTGTACATGTGAAAAAGAACTTCAAATTAAAAAGGTCAAACGCAACTAATATAATCCCTTACCTTTGTTTAAAAATCTCATCTACTTTTATATGTGAAAATTATATTAAATGGTAGTGACCTGAACTAAAAGTAGTATGTTTCTTAAAATTAAGCCACCAATTACTGTAAGGATTAAAAATGCGTTTAACCAATACATTAACATTACATTATCGTTCGTTCATTAGTCACTACTTCCCTTCATTAAATGGTTAATGGAAAATTATATTAAATGGTAGTACCTGAACTAAAAGTGTATGTTTCTTAAAATTAAGCCACCAATTACTGTAAGGATTAAAAATGCGTTTAACCAATACATTAACATTACATTATCGTTCGTTCATTAGTCACTACTTCCCTTCATATTGCAAAAACACTCAGCGGCGCCGACCTTGCACTTTTCAAACTGACCTTATTCATTATGTACGGATTAAAAGTAAGCAAATAACCCGGATTAAAAAGTGAGTATTACAGTGTTGCCATCGACCGGAAGTTTGTATTTATATTCAATGACGATGGTAATACTTAATAAGCAATAAAAACTGAAAGCTTCCTAACAATCTCCCAATTCTGTACACAATATCTTGACAGCTTGATTAGTTATTATTAGCTAGATACAATACGATTTGCAATAAAACAGTGGTTTTCTGAATATCCGAAGGTCGACACTAATTTATAAATTTATTAACAATTCGCAAGCTTTCATACTATGATTAATGGTTAGGTTTAATTTAAAAATCATTACATTGCTTCACCATGGCTAAACCATTCAACTAAAATATTTTTGAAAGGTCATTACCTATTTATTATAAGTACAGTTAATATACACAGCTACAAATGTGTTTGATTGCAAATCTACTATGTATTTAAATTGAAGAGAGAAACCTTTTGATGTTAAGCTAAGGTCATTTATTTCATTCAACATGCTTGCACGTGTAACTTTAACCATTAAATGATTCCATGCTTTGATTTCCGATTAAAGACTTAATACAGTATAATGAAACGCTTTGACTTATTTCATGACAAAGGACTTATAATACAGCTGTTCTGGATATTTCATATTATACGAACAGTTTCTAGTCATAATATATTTATTTTAGAATGTTATTAAATTATAACTTTTCATACTATTTGATAGATAATTCACAACGCAAAAATATTTTTTAATACTCTCCAAATACGACACTATTAATCCGATGCTTTACAGTAGTGGTCAAGGGGGACGTGTAATCGTATTTAAAAAAATTATTTACCAATATTTAAATTTTTCGTTTTTTTTAATGTATAATTTTATTTATAACTACAGAAACAACTACAGTATATTTAAATACTGTCTGTAGTTTACACGAGTCTTCCCATGACCACGGCTGCTGCACAGCGTCCGAAACGTCGAGCTGTAGTTATATATAAAGAGTATTTCTTTTGTTTCAGCTAGCATTATTGCTAGTAGTGTTCAGTATCGAAGCGTACGTCCGCTTTCGCCTAGTTGCCCCAATGTTGCGCGCGAAGCATGTCAAAACCCAGATGGAGGAAGCTGCGGGTGGCGGTCAAGAGGTGAATAAAGTCATTTAATTAATTAGGATTATACTTAAATTTACTAACGAAAAAAAAGATCTACTCATTCAATATAGTAACAAGGACTTGACGACAAAAGGAGTGGTGGCAAGCCTCTTACTAGTTTTTCTCGTTCGTTCTACGCCCTTTACTTGGGAACTGATAAATACTGTCTATAGTTTACACGAGTAGTACACATTTAAATAAAACACTTTAACGGTTTAAAACGCGATATATTAGTTAAACTTATTTGAAAATGATGAACAAAGATGAAGGAAGTCTCTGAGACATCCTCCATCTTTGGTCTCCCCGTGACCACGGCTGCTGCAAAGCATCCGAAACGTCGGGCCAATTAAATTTCAAATAAGTTTAACTAATATATCGCGTTTTAAACCGTTAAAGTGTTTTATGACATGAGTAAAGTAAGTACGAATGTGTAGGAAATATAATTTTTGGTAACTCTTTTAAAATAGTGTATATGAATGAACTGATAGCCAAAATGTTTGTTATTAACGAGTTATTTTTTTTTTGCAGATCGGCCGTCTTGTACTCGGCGAGCTGGCCCACTGTCCCCGATACATTCGCGTCCTGAAGACTTTCAGAGGCTACCACTCCACCATTGCCATGGGCACCATGATCACACTCGGTTGCTCCTTCTACTCAACCATGATCATAGTTGACTCTATGTGTTATTAAATTACTCGGAAACGTAGTAACAGTGTCTATTTTCGTGCTTTGAGTGATTTCTCTTCATCGATATTCAAAAAATAACCGAAAGTCGTTTGGAAATACCAAGTTTCGGTTAAATGGTATTTTGACACATGGAAGAGTTTCTTAAACAACGTTTAAGAGCTGATATTGCTACCTATTAACGCATATGTACAACTAATGCCTAATTTATATGACATAGTCGGAAACATGTATACGATAATTTAAAGCCAGGTAAGATGGGACGAAAACCTGTCTTAAAGTTCACTATGTAAATTTTATTGAAATGATAATATTCACACTGTGAATTCAGATGCAGCTTAGACTTTCTCAAATTTTCGAATAATAGAAATAAGTTTTTTTATTAATCGTATCTTTATTCCAGTCTTAATTTTCATTAAGATGTTGCAAGAGATTTAAGGTTGGGAACGTTTAAGGAAGCATTGTTAATGCAATTTCGGGCTGTGCAGTCTGTTATTATAAAGTTATTGTTCATAATTTGAGCTGTCACTTGAGACTGCTCTTAGAAAAATTTGACTAAGCTTAGCGAGATTGTGATTTAGAAAATACTGCGTGAAGCTTTTAGCTTCCGCCCTGCTTAAAAGTTGGTGGTGAAAAGCGGAAACAATACTTTAAAAAGCATAGAATTTATTCGTACGTGGCGCTGGTCGCAATATTTCGCTTCGGATACCGAGCACGTTACGACAGCAAATAACGTTGCCGATTATTAAATTTAGTTATAGTAAAATTTTAAGCTTACGGCACTTGTATTCTTGCCATTAAAGTAATTAGGTTTTAAGTGTTTATATGCGATATCCCCTATGAGCTGCTTGATTTTCATTGTGTAAGTAATTGTTGTTCTACAACACTGCCACAAAATATATAGGTACCTATTCAAAGAAATACTAAAATTAATTACTTATTTTATTTGACAATGTATAATTTGAAATAAACACATGTATGTTAAATAATATGGAATTTTATTCGATGTATGCTTTATAGAAATGAAAATTACAGTGTGGTTTGAAAAGTAACATCTAGTCAGCGGTGATCAAAAATATGGTCGTAGATCACAGTATTAACGCTTAACTCAGCCTTTGTTAGTATAATTTTGTAATAGCTTATGATTAATATTATGTGATGAAAATGTATTTTGCCTTTACATACTTTGCAGAAAGTGGCTGGTGCGACAATATTAGGCAAATGGTCAAGCAGCAAGTCTTTTTAATATGTCTGAGGCACAATACAACTTTGAAAATATAATATTGTACTATCAATATTATAATTTTAAATTAGAATTAAAGTGAGTATTAATCCTGCGCGTAGATTGTAATATCGATGATCTGAATGTTAACTTAAGTTTTTGTTATTTATTCGACGTATGTAGTGAAGTGAAAGGAAAATAAAAATTAATTGAGAACTGTGTCGAATCATTACCTGTTGATTTCCTTAACGTTTTATGTTTGAAGAGTAACATAAGTAGAGTAAAAATTGGTAGACCTTTAACCGAAATGTTGATAAAATAGTACTTAGAATGTTCAGTACAGTTTGACAGACTTTTAACTTATTTAAATAAGTTAAGAATAACATAGGTTTAATAAAAAATATTCTTTCGTTACCAAAAAAAAAACCTTTTACCTCTCGCAAAGTAAAAAGGAGATAGGTAAAAAAAAGTATAGTTAGAAATACCTAATTTATATTGCACATATCTATATATATATATGTAAGAAAAAAATGTAATCTCTAAAGAAAATCCTATGAATAGCGCACTTATTACTACACTTACCTTCATTACTTAGGAACAAGCCTATCCCAATCCCAAATGCCATGAATTTACGTCGCTTTAAAATTGTATGCTCGCAAGAATAAAGCCCATCAAGTCATCCCAGGCGTCTTTGAGGTTCCATAGGAGTAGGTGTCATCAGAAAACCTTCTGTTCGATTACTTCACTCTAAATAAAAAAGTTTATAAATAAGTTTATTAAAAATGTATATAAGTAAGAAATAAGTTATATGAGACACAAATAAATATTGTTATTTTAAAATATTTTTATTTATTATTATAATTTAGTCTATAATACTAGTTTTATCTGTGGTTAACAAAAATCCGCTGTCTTATCAAGTTCACTGGTCAATTTACAGTTTTGATTTTTGACGTCTGTGTTATGAAGTACATAATTTGAAATGGCATACGTGTTTGTCTACTATTTGATTTCAAAAATAAATGTTATTGCCTTTCATAATGAAATCTAAATTATCATCTATCTCTAGTTTTAGATATCTAACAGTGAGCATATGTTTTATCAATCCAGTTAGTCATGCTGTTCATAGGTAGATCACAAGAAACGGAAACCATGAAACGTGATTGGAAAAAGCAAGATGAGATAAAAATTCTAATGGATCGGTGCAGAACATTGGTTGTTTTATCGAGTTTGGTATGTACTTTTGCAGCTGTTATCTCATTACACAAGATTCTGAGCCAAGATGTCAAATTTGTAAAACCGTTTTCTCCTCTACCTGCTGGCTTATATGGGAACCACTTAGAGCCATTTGTTGGAGAACCTCCTCCTCCTGCTAAGCCTTACCACCAAGCGCATAATGCAGAAGCAGTAGGATCCCTTAATGCTGCACTAGAGATGAAAAAACACGGAAAACCAGATAAAGCGCTAAAATTATTTCAACACGCGTTTGCACTGTCTCCTAAACATCCAGACATTCTTAACCATTATGGAGAGTTTCTAGAAGACACAAAAAAGGATATTGTTAGAGCAGATCAGCTGTACACATTAGCTTTATCAAATTCCCCTGAACACAGTGGAGCTTTAACAAACCGTCAACGGACTGCTAGTATAGTAGAAAATCTTGATCGCGAAATGTTACGAAAGATTGACGAAAAACGAGAGGCTTTGTTATCTATACCAGAGAATGACTCCGCTTTGCGAAGAGCTAAGAAGGAAGCATACTTCCAGCATATATATCACACTGTTGGTATTGAGGGCAATACAATGACTTTGTCCCAAACAAGAAGTATTTTAGAGACAAGAATAGCTGTTGCGGGAAAGAGCATAGATGAACACAATGAGATTTTAGGTTTAGATGCAGCTATGAAGTACATAAATGACACATTGTTGTACCGTTTACGGGATATAACTATGGGCGACATTTTGGAGATTCATAAAAGAGTCTTGGGGCATGTAGATCCAGTTGAAGGGGGCCATTTCAGACGTACACAAGTTTATGTCGGAGGACATATTCCACCAGGCCCATCAGATATACAAAATTTAATGACTCAATTCTTAGAATGGTTGAATTCAGAAGATGCTATGGAGTTGCATCCTGTTAGGTGAGTATTATCCTTGCTTGATAGACATAACTTTAACAGTACGTAAAATGTAGTAAGTTAAGTAGGTGTAAAATAAAGAGTAGGTACCTACTTAATTTTTAATCTTTTTATTCAGCCAGCCAATGTTAAAAGTTGTTTAAAAGGTTTAGATCAAGAAACAATAACTTGGTAATGCTCATATCCATTAAAATGTGACTTGGTTTTATTCAAGCAAAGTGATAAGTAGTACATATACCCACTCATGTTTCCTATATTAATGCGTGAGTATTTTCAGATATGCAGCATTAGCACACTACAAACTTGTTCACATCCACCCATTTATTGATGGCAATGGAAGAACCTCTCGCCTCCTCATGAACCTTCTCTTGATGCAAGCTGGGTATCCACCAGTGATAATTGCAAAGCAGCATCGCCACTTATACTACCAACATTTGCAGACAGCTAATGAGGGAGACGTCAGACCTTTTGTTAGGTGAGTTTGACAATATTAAATCAAGAACACCATAGGGTCATGTAACTCTTGTCTTCTTTACTCTCAATTATATTTGATTACCTTAGTGGTTGTCCTCATAAAAAGTGGCAATTTTAAAGTACATTCTTTCACTTTCAGATTCATAGCACAATGTACTGAACGGACATTAAACTTATACCTGTGGGCGACCAGCGAGTATAGTCATATGGTACCTGCGATTGGAGAACCACAAATTCTCACTGGTGAGGGATTTGAAGATCTGCTCTAGATTCTACCTGATCATAAGTACCCTACTGTTTAACTAGAAAAACTCCAACTCAAAGGCAAAGAAGTTATCTTATGCTTTTAAAAAGGTGGTTAAAAACAGTCTCTCAATCTAACTTAAATACCTTTTCAATATTTTTTTCATGCTAGTTATTTTTATAATATTTAAAGGATTGTCTAAGCAGGTCTTAAACTGACTTTTGTAATCCAATGTACTATCATGATGTGGATACTGCGCCAACTAGTGACAAATAGCTAATTATATTGGCTGAAGAACCGAAATTATAAATTTTACAAAATATCACTTATACTTTTAATCAAAAGCTCAAAAATTTTTCGTTATTGTAAACAATACAAATCTAAACAAATGAAATGCTAGTAAATGACATTGTTAATCATTTATTCTTATTTTGCTTTATTTGGTCCCACCAGTGTTAAGTATTTCTTTTTACATTGAAGCATGTAAATATGGTGCATTAATTGTAGAATATATATCTTAATTTATGTTCATTTGTACCTAAAATTCTGTGATATACGATTTGTTTAGTGAATTATTTATTTAAAAGTATGTATCTAGAATGTCTGTAAATTGACAGCCAAAGAACCCGATTTTTAGGATGAGAGGTGACGTTAATACCTAGATTATGGTAATTTAGATTTTAATTTACATTGGATTCCTACCCCCAATAAAATTACATAATAGTTTTAACAGTTTAAAGTTTAGTGCATTTATTTTTAGCAACTTGTTCAATTTGTGTCTTCCACAATTCCAGTATTGTTAGTACTTTTAAGTACAAAATATGTGTCTTATAAATGCTATTACTGAAATTGAACTGTTTTTTATTTACTTATATACGATTATCTACATTTAAATGATGATGGATTTTAAAAAGAGTAAACAAAACTAAGAAAAGTGATAGTAGCACATACAGAGTAATACGCCACAATAGAAATAGGCACATGCAATCACTACAAACAGGTAGATGTATTTTTATTTTATTTTTGTACAATTTTCTGCTTTATGTATAACAGGCATGAAATTCAGTAAAATAAAAAACGACGGGAAGGTGAGGACGTTATTAAAAATATCCATAAATTTCGATTAATTTATTATAATGTGCGATGTTAAAATATGTTTATTATAATAAAGCATTTCAACGTGTACGGCCGTCCAGCCGCACCTCGTTTCCCACATAATGATTTCACTTCTATACAAACCAAAAACAATTCATTTGAGGCAAAACTTAGCTATCTCTACCTGTGGCCTCCTGTGGCCACAAAGAAACCTTTCGAGATTTTCAAACACTGGCCTCTGATACAGAGAACCGCAGTAGGTCATTTTTAATAGTACTATCTAATACATTAATATGTCATAGTGTACATTGACCAATCAGGACCGAGGTATACAGTTCTCGAGTTATACATATAATCACTTTGTAAACATTTCAAACGAATCAAGCAAACAGTTAAATTATTAATAAAGCTAAAGTATAAATACCGTTAGGATACGACAGGATTAAATCGTAGACGTTATAAGCACCACCTAGTTGCTAACGAACATATTAATTCACAGAGTTTTACCATCAGTTCTCACTATACCTAAAGTCGCGTACAGACACGATCAAAACTCAAGTAAAAAGCACGAGTTTTATTACATTGGCCGTACGTCACAATAACAAATGTGTCAAACTATAAAAAATAAATGAGATAATAAGTAATGACTTTAACTTAATTAGTCTTTTTGTTTTGTTTTATCAGTTATGATTAAATTGATTTACTATTTTATGAAATTTAATTTCGTAATAACACAAACGATTATGTATAGAGATTTACTTCACCGATTCGATTTGTAACGACTACGACGCTTTCTTCTAGACGACTCAAAACTCGTCAAATGTCATGCATTGAATTTGGCCGAATCGTCAATCGATTATTATTGTGGCGAATCTATATTCACTAACTAATTTTATACAATGGTGTAAAATAAATGACATAAGCTAAACTGCTAAGCGCAAATAAGAAATCTCTTCAATGATTTAATCTCGAAGTAATTAAATTAAATCTCTCATTACGTATACAAATAGGCTCTCTTGGTAAAATGTAACATGCAATGTAACGTCGGTTAGCTTGCATGCAGCGTTTTGTACGTCTTTAAAGAGATACGTGCAACTACACTTTGCAAGCTAGCGAAACAATAGTGTTTGTTCACTCACTTTACATTCTTTGTATACCTGACGGACATAATTTCACAACATAACGAGTATTTTGTATGTAGAACGTCCAATGAATACGCGCCTAATACAATATTCCATAGTAACAACAATAAACTTGAATTTCAACAACGGAAGAATAGGAGTATGTAGCACCTTTATTGTTTAGAAAGCCCTAAAAACAGTCTAAAACGACGTGTTAAAGTATAGTCTTAAAAACTTGGCGCGAATGACAATTGACACTTCGACAGAAAAGAGACCGCACGAAGGGACGTCAAAACCGCGAAAGAGGCCGCGTATTTAATGGACGTTCTCGATCCTAAAGCGCTCCGGGAATAACGAGGTCACACCGTATTCGGATCACTCCCGCTACAAATTTAGGCCTAAGCGAAGTTAAATGCATCGAGTTTTAAATTTACAAAACTAACACACACTGACTAATTTACGCAATCGAATGTAGTTTTATTATATTGGCAATTCACAGCGGAATCACAATCTAGACACATATAATTCGAATATTGAAATAGAAATATTTTAAACGTCTAGCTAGAGCGTTAATTTAAAATTAAAGTATTAATAAAACGAAATCAAAATTAGTTTAAAATATTTTTATTTCAATAAAAAACGCGTAGAAGACAATACCTACAGTTGTCTATTACAAAATTCATCGAAAGTTTAACGCCCAAGGTTGTATTGCGGGCTTCGCTTCGTGCTTAAAACACATCTTAAAATAAACAGTCTATAATATAATATTAATAACACGACGGTATCTCGATTGACATGTTAGCTGAGTTAGCTTGGATTTTGAATTGGACATAATATAAAGCAAAGGTAGGCCAGCTACGAACTTTTAACTCTGTGCCTACTGCATAAGACTATTGCCGTTTACCGTCATTTCGCACGTCAGTATGACACTAGCAATGTGTGTGTGGTCATTGCTTTCATTTTACTCGATGCAAATTGTCTTTTAAGACTTTTAAATGAATGCATATAAAGACGTTATATACATAGGAACTTTACTACATATGTATTGAAACATGAACATATAACAATTGAAAATAAATAAAAAAACGAAACATGTTAATTTGAAACATCGTAAGGAAAATGTTAAAAAAATATATTACATATATATAGAGATGTTTACTAGAATTTAGACAATTGACATCGAGTAACAACATTTTTAACGCACACTTCAGAAATTCTACTGCAAGCCTTCTTGGCGTTTTTGTTTTGACAGTTTTACTATTTTTGAGATTTAAATTATAAATATTTTTATAATTTCGCGCTCGTCTGAGGTCTGAGTGGCACATAGCATGTGGACCCTGGCAAAAGCGCGGGCAACGCAAAACAAAACTTGTGTTGTCTATGGCGAGTTTCGTTCGACAGTTACAATGTTGCCAGTGGAGACTCGATGAAAACCGGCAGCTAATGGTGGCGCGGCGGTTGAATGTGTCGCGATATATGCTCTTCCTGTTGCATTTTGGCGCGAAACTCGGCGACTAGATCGCGCGACTGCGCCAAAACGGCGAGCTGCTCATTTAGCAGCTCCTCCCACTGCGTCGCGTACACTGTAAATCAATTACTTTTTTTACGAGGTATTTATGAAAAGTCGTTCATGGTTACAAAAGAATTAGAAAACGCAAGCAATTATGATTACGAGTAGAAACTATTTAAAAGCAAAGAAATGTTTTATAGCTATTATTGGTATTCTAATCTGAGTAGAAAATTTATTGGATTTGTGTTTGTGGAGAAATATCTTTTGCCTTCAAAAACAAAGGAAATAGCAAATCTCTAATAAGTGTAACCACATATCTATCAAACATATAGCTTTATGATTGGTTTAAAGGGGATAGTATTTCAGCTCTACAACCATATTACAAAGGTAGGCATTTTGTCGTAATAGTTTAAAGCCAAGAAATTGTTAGCACTCGGCACGAATTACAATGAATTTTTAGGTTGCTCTCTGTTAGCTTATCGGTGACGATATGTGAAGCGCTACGCAATGTTTCCTTTCACGAATTGTTAGAATAATCCCCTCAAATTCGCAAATCAATCGACGATGGCTGTGAGCGATAGCTTTGGCATATTATTGATGACATGATTCGGCCATATTCGTGATCAAACCTAGCAAGTTGCGCGTGCGCACGGTGCCAAGGCCATAGCTGACGCCGCGGATTCGCTTCCGTGCATACGAGTACATCCCTGAAACACGCGCTCACATACACACACACAATATTTACACCACACACACATATAATACACAAAAAGCTATGCATGCAGCTAAAGTACATAAAAGCTTAAACAAACAGTACGAATGTTAATAATCTTGCACATATAATTGGGAGTCCAAATATATATGTAATTACATAAATAAGGAAAAGGCATCATTTACTTATATATGTCTTCGGTGGTACTAATTTCTCGCTCGTTCTTAGTAGATTTAATATAAATGAATAACCAGAATTTATATAATATCTATAAGCGTACATACCGTCCTGGTCATAGTCCACGTCCCTCGTTATGGAGAGCAGCTGGTTGCAGCGCTGTAGCGCGTGTTGCATGTAATCCGAGATCGCCTTGTGGTTGTCAAGCACTTCCTCTTCAGCCCGCTGAAGCTCGTCTATCGCCTCGTGGAACGTGTACATCTCCGCGGACATGTCTCCCTCCTGCGCATTATTCAAATGTAATTACCATCGAGAAACGTCGATAAGAGAGAAATCTTGGTGTTAAGCAGTAATGAAGTAACCAGGATTAAGATTAAATTCTAATTCGAATCGCCATAACCATAATTATACATGTAGTCTCTGTAGTGTATAAGGTCTCGCAGTTTTTATAAGTCATTATTTAAAACGAAAATTTTTCATACTAGGTAGCATACAAATTTGAATCAATGTTTAAGATAAAAATACATATTTCTCATGTTCAAAATTAGATTACAATCTATACCAGAATAATTATTTTGTCTTTGTATAGAAAATACTTTGAATACAACAAAAACGGGCCAAACTTATCGTTGTAAAAAATCGTTGTAAGTAAAAAACAAAACAAACTCATATCACCCAGTTAGCGTTAGGATATTAGTGAAAATCCATGAAATTAGAATGGTCTGTAATATTGGTGATGAATGTGGGGATATCAATTAATAAAATACCTGTGGATACGCTAGGTAACAATTATTCTGAAAACAAAAATAGTTTTTTAGAAAGTATTGAGTGGGAGTTTGTATATACGTCTCAGTATTTGTAAAAAATATATACTAACGTTGAGTGATCGAAGGTGCGCAAGATCATCGTGTTCTGGTTCCATTTCGACATCGGCCAACGGTGATTCCCCGCGCCGAGGACCGTCTGACGTACCCAGTTCTTTAACCCTAGAAAATAAACACGACTTATTTTAAAAAGCAATTAGATGGCACGAGCAAAAATAAAAAATATATTTTTCGTAAAGAGAACATCTAACTATATTTTCGATTAAGTTTCAGTTCGTTGAACTGTTGAATTCATTTATTGAAATTTTATTAAGAAAGTCACCTGTCAGCATATCTCAGGGTGTTAAGCGAATGCTCGCAAGAGGACATGGCGGGCGAGATCATCGCAATCATGCAGGTGCGAGACTTATCGCCGATAAAACTATCGCGCAGCACCTTTAAATTGAATATAATAAATTAAAAACACAGTGAAACATTGGTAAGTGGCACTTGGATACATGAGAAACTATACTATTGAGAGTTGCAATGAAGTCCAGGTTCTTTCTCATTAACCTTTACCTATATAATTGCGACTGCCTAATTGGACTATTGATTGATCTAACTTAACCTGGATTATTGGAAACCCCTTAATAATTGGTACATAATATGTCGTAATCCCTTGCTAATTAACCAGGTTTCATTGTCCTTTTTTATCCTCCATTACATGTACTTCTAACATCCGAAGTTTTTAAACTAATTCTGAGGTTCAAAAAATCCTTAAAGAAAAGGATTCCGGTTATGTAAATTTACCTGAGTGAGCTTAGAGACACGGAATGGAAGATGGTTGTTGCCTTTCATACCAAGCGCCCGGATACACTCCTTCAAAGCTAGCAAGGATTTGTTGATCTCCGCACTCTCCATACCTGTAACGATAAATATAAAGTAAGTCTAAAAATCTCAACCAAATCCACATAACAGATTTTAAAAATACGTTTTAAAAAGTAAGACTATATAAGGACAAAGATAGTTTATATACATAAAGTATAATTTCGACCAAACGTCCATGTTTGCAGGTGTCCAATACCAAGGAACGCTAGAAGTAAATTATGTAATCATACGACATTTTAGAATTAGTTCTAATTATTTTTTGAGTAAAAAGAGACCCTCTACTCACGTGTCTGTCGGTTCGCGGACGATGTATCGGCTCCTCGTTCGTTTCCCGCGAGGTCGATGAGCGAAAATTTTCCATGTACTCGGTGCATTCCGGGCGATCGCACTATTATTTGAAACACGGCGTGCGACCGCGATGAATTCGAGTTAGCCGATGTCTGAAATAGATCAGTAACTAGTTACATGTTTACTCTATACACCATGAATAAACAAGTTAGTAGGTTCACTTTTAATAGTTCAGAAAGGAATAAATCTAATATACCTGGCCTGAGGTCCTCGCGGCGTTTCCGTGTTGAATTAGCTTCAGCACTTCATCTACATTGTCCACAACTTTTTCCGTCAATCCAACAATTTGCACTTGCTGCTTACCGTCTTCCAGCACGCGAAGCTTAGCCTTGTCAGCTAACAGGTCAAACACCTTGAAATGGACGGTTGTTAAAAATTGGTCCATCGAGCGGGATATTCGGTAAGAGACAGGTTTAGCGAAGCCATACGAATGAAAAAGTTAGTAACATGTGGTCAAAGTCGTGTAGGGTGGTAAATTATTGTCCCATCTATTTCTATATTTTCATTATCAATGTAAATACATTATACTGTTTTTTGTAGATATAAATGCATATTTTAAAATTGTATATATATTAATGTCATATGAACCTTTCCGGAGTAAATCTCGAAGAAGGACGCAGATACGATGAGATTAAGCGGCTTGTACTTCGGCGACTTAAGATATGTGAACACGTCGCGCGCCGCCATCGCGTATATGCCCTTCTTGCAGTCTTGCTGTTTACCCTGGATTTAAAAAGACATATTCATATATGGTATTATAATCATACATATGTATATTGCAATTTATTTTCTTGAATTTGTTAACATAAAATTATCACTAAATAAAGATGTATCTTGAGATATAATAATACCTGAAAGTCCCCACCCATGGTGTGCGTTTTTCCGGATCCTGTCTGCCCATAAGCAAAGCACGTCGCCATGCCACCGTCAAATATTGTCTGCACTAGCGGTTTAGCTGTGTATCTGTCAAATGTAAAAATATTCACTAAAGTAAAATTATCTAGTGTCGTTTTGGCAAAACGCATTCTTCCAACCAAATATAAGCATCTTACTTGTACACAACTTCATTAGTGCAAGAATCGTCAAACGCGTAGTCGAAGCGGAACTTTTGGTTCTCGAGATACTTGGTCAGATCCACTTTGTTCTTCGGCTCGTGGACTATCATTTGGTCCTTTGTGGGCACACTGATGACGTCCACCTGAATTTATCATTGCATATTTATTACTATTACGTTAGGGATTTTCTAAGATGGCGAGAATGACATTAAAAATCCATCTGTTAACATACAATGTCAGTTGTTTGTTGGTTTGTCTGGAGACCGTCATTTGTGTACAGACCTCTTTCTTATTAATCTCCTTCTTGTTGAGCGGCCTCTTCCTCACGCAAACGGTGATCTGGTGGTCCTCCACGGGCTCGTTACCTAGCAACGGCCTGAATTCGATGCTGCTCTGGTACTCGCGGATCATAGCTAGGAATTCCCAATTTGGATTGCCAGGGTCCATGTTCATTAGGGCTTCCTGAAAACACAAATCATTGTTTAGTAGACATCACTCAAAGTTAATTATATTATGTTGCTCTACTGTAGTAGTGTTACAATTATGTATAGAACTTGCAGTTTTTTTTTATATTACCTTCTCCTCCTTAAGTTCCGCCTGCCTCTGTCGCCGTTTCTCCCTATTCTCTTTAAGCCTCTCTACCTCCTTGACGACGTTGGACCGCCTCACGGCACCCGAGGCAACCGTATGTGGTACCGAAACCGTGCTCGACACCGCTGCTGGCCGAGCCGACGACACCGGCGGCGGCGGATTAAACTGGAAGACAAAAGAAATGCGTTTTCTAAGGTAACCATATATTTCTTCAGTGTTACTCTAAATGTGTGGATAATAATTATTTTGTGTCCTCCTTTTTTCTAGGAAATTGTGGAAAAGAGACAACCCGCCATTAACTCGATTTGTTATTAACTACATATATATAACCAAACATATATGTAATTAATATTTATTATCATATTACAACTCTTCTTACGCTAAATCTGGACCGCGTTATTCGTTTTCTTTTTAAATCGTACTGTAGACGTACATCTACTTGGTAATCTATCATGTATAATTCCAATGAGTATGACGAAAAAACCTCTTTAATATTATGCATCCGTCTAGAAGCGGAGTAAGGATTGTGGATAACAGAAGCGGCGCTAGGCGTGCTACCGGAACGGGTCCGGCCGCCCGATGTAGGCATCTGGAAAGGGGAAAATGGAGGAGGGATGGTAGGAAGAATGCAATGGTCAAATTAAGAAAAAAATATAACAAATAAAAAAATATATATTTGATGTGTATAAAATCTCACCTGCTGTGTCAGCCTGGAGTTTGGCGTGGGCTGGGTAGTTGCCTGCACCGGGGGTGGTACGTTTTCGGCACCTCGGCGACCAGTGGTGTCACCACCGTGGCCGTTGGTGTACGCCCCCATATTTGTCCCTCGCACCTGATTGTTTCGTGTGACTCTCGTTGGCGCTGGAATTGATAACAGATAAGTATATATAAATGTATACCGCTATATATTGAGTCTCATGCTTATTTCAAAAACATTTAAAGCGTTATCGTTTAGAAGCTTGTCTAGCTCTATTTTGTTGTTTCAATATTCGACAATAATTTGAAAAGTACAGTATATGCATAATAAGATCGTAGTTGATATAAACATAATGTCTTTTCACCGAAATGAGTAAATTATGTGTCAGAGGGTTTTTGTTCCCTATTAACTCATTTCTATGAATAGACAAATATTACTTAATTTAGAAACGTGAAATTACATTTATTTACAAGAATGCGAAGCTCTCTCAGTTGACGTTTAAACTAACAAGCAGTATGATGGCAAATGGCAATTAATACAACTAGTGAAAGCATAAAAGATGGTTCGTGAAAGTGCTGTAACAATTAATTACCTTAAGCTTAAAAATAAAGCAAAAATCGTGTTGCATAAACTAATTAACGGACGACAGGGCGACTGCTAGAAGTGGGCCGATTACTTAATCGTAACGCGATTATAACAATGCAACGTAACGTGCGAAAAGCTATATATCGCGGCAAAGAACTCGAGCGCTGGTCTTTAATATGCATGCGGAACCACGACCAACTATTAGTGTTGGTATTAATCAAATGGGTTTCAATTCAATTTCAACAATTGTTCAAAAATGTTCTAATCTGAATAATTATATAATATATGCACCCGAATCTGTGTGAAGTCCGCTTTATAAAATGGATCTATACAAAACAAAAGCAAACTTGTGTTATTATATTTTTTTTGGGCGTATGTGAACTTAAGAACCAGCACTCAATTGTCCCGCCAGGCCCGTTAAAATCTTGCGCATCTGCCGAAAGAGTCTTACGTGACTTCGGCGCCTCTCGCGTAGCTTCCTCTGCGGGTTTGACATCTTTTTCGTACCCATCTATGGGAGCATTGGACATCGCCGAGTCGGCGACCCGACGTCGGCAGAACAGCCACGAACAACACATTTGGATACACTTATCTACACATTCTTCACTTAGGGCCGATTTTTAGTTTTATTTTAACACGTGTTAAATCCTAGTTTAACTCTGCAATGCGAAAAGTAAATCGAGTACAGATGACGGACGAATTCGGAATGGCAGTGCGTCGGCGCAAGGCAATCATGTGCCGCCATATTAGGAACACTATCCGTCAAGGCAGTGAACCGCGACACGGGCAGAGTGAAGGCGAAACTGCAACTTGAATGCTCAAAACGCTCTAAGAACCTCGACAATCTACGTAGAACAGAAGAAAGATAGGAAATAAATTTTATAAGATTTCAGAAGCACGATTACACATCTTAATTTGGCTTTATTTAATAAATATTATTATATATATGTCAGGTAAACTATATATAAACCGTAAAATGTACATATCACAAAATCAAACTACAGAAAAGAGGCGATCTTTGAGTTTAGATGAATTAACGACTCCTACTACCTATCCTCAAAATTCGACTGCCCATGTTTGTAAACCACAGAAGAATTCAGAAGCCAGCAATCCTCGGGTGGTCTTTGCGTGATAGAGTCAAGGCCTAATAATTAATATTTCAACATGGATCTAAGAATACATTTCGTGTCTGAAGTTAAATTACAAATAAACATATACACTGTCGTAATTTCTACCAAAATATATGTTTTTATCTGTGACTGAATTAAATTCTTGTAAATGCTATATGCGTCTAATCAACAAACGGTGGACAAAAAATCAAACACATTAAACCGTCTCAAACACCAGCAATAAATCAGGGATTCCTGCATCTCCACCCAAGAATATACCATGCAACTCATAACTCCTATATCGATTACTATAAAAAATATTTTCAAAGACGTCATAACCTAGACAGGCTGAGCGAAACACTAATACCCACAGACCAGGAATCAATCCGATACAATTGTTTAATAGCACATTTGGGACATTAATTGCCCACAAGCGTGACACTGGCCACTTTTGTGTGGCGATGAAAAATGTATAGTGACGTCATAAGTCGATCGATAACATGATTGATGTCTTGGTTTAGTCTAGTGCTGGGTGGTTTTATAACGGGTTGCCTGAAAACTGGTTTAGCCGTAGTAACGCTAAGGACTAGTTTGTGTTGACATTAATAATTCTTACGGTATGAACACATTCAAGATTATAAATGCATAACAATAATAGCTTCCTGTTTTAGTGACTAGATGTGTTAAGTTTACTTTTTTACTAGTTTCTCACATAAACGCATAATGTTTGCTAACCTATAATTACTATTAACAATTTGTAACAGATAATTTAGTTTATAATGAAATAACAAGGCGTTTACAGCATATCCAACTGAATCAACTTTAAAATGACCTTCCCCGAGAACCTTGTATGCACAAAATAAAAATGCTCTTACAACAGATATCAAAATGTAAATTTTAGCATAGCCAGTGATAGTAAAAGTATTACAAGTTCATCGCGAGTGTGTTTCGGTAATAAAATGCAAATTTCATGTTAGAACTCGTAAAATACATCCGTATACGTTATATTATAAGCCATGTGCTCGCAATGGCAATAAGATTCTTCCTGATTTACAGAACTATATAATGCATTTTGACTGTTGCTAAAATAATTGCTTTTGTATGAAAACGGGTCTTAACAACATAAGAGTGTGATAGAATAGTAACTTAGGCAAAGGAGCGCATCTACTGTGTTTCTTACGCCACAATTGCTTTCATTAAACAGTTTAATTCAAGTTTGAATCGCCCTTTGGGCTGAGTCGTGATTTCACTTTTAATCAAATTAAGATATAAAAGATAACTACAAAATAACTTGCATGCACTATTTACCCATCAGAACAAAGATCTACCTACTTACGAAAGTTTTGTGTATTCTAACCTATTGTTTATCCCTATCATGCAACAGCTTGAGCCACTTTAAAAGCAGCTAACATTTGCAGTGGATCAGCTAAACTCTGTGTATATCAAGGGAGCGTTCACTGCTCCATTTACCCGACAGCTATCTGATTTATTACAGGCGAAGCCAACGTGAACTTCAATAATGTTCAGACAAGCAGAATAAGTTTCTTATTCGTATAACGTGAAGCTAAGTGATTATTATAATTATTTGTTTATTTAAGCAGCATTTCGCGCTAGTCATTTTTGAGAGCGGGTATTTATTATACTATTTGTCTTAACTTTTAAGCAGCACTTCGCGCTAGTCATTTTTGAAAGCGGGAAAGTGTCAGAAATAATGTGTAGTAATTAACGGTGATTTTTTGTGTTTTTAGCGTTTGAAAAACTTTAATATATTTGACAAATGATGGCCACTAAGGTAATTGCGCAAGAGGTGCATGTATCAATAGGTTGAAAAAAATTTATGATGACGTATACAACTCGGTAGCTCATTTGGTTAGGGTCACGGAACCTGATGATCAGCACGGCAAGCTGAGGATGCAGGTTCAAGTGGTGCCAATCGGGCAAATTTCGGGTAATTTTTTTTCAATTTATCGATTTTTAATATAAAGAGTTTTTTATTTCGAAGTTGTTGCTTACCACCGTACAACCAGCTTTAAACATATTGGTCAAAAGTCGAGATTGACATTGACAGAATGGTCGCAAAAGCAGCCCGAAAAGTTGCTACATTTTTTAATTTTCGCGTAAGAACCAATTTCCTAACAATGTCTGTTGATTCTTAATAACTTTCCCACAATAGTTAAACTGTATTTGAAAGTCGCCACACTAAAATCACCATGCAATCGTGAGACGTGTCTGCCTAATAGATTTTCACTTGACCCTACTACGTGGCTGCGAATAAATCGATTATCTGTATCAAATTGTATTATATCGATGATTTAATGATAACCATTGTTTCCCAAGCTGTCACTGATGTATTATCATAAGATGTGGGTAAGCGAAATTCTAGAAAGCGATCTTGGTGGGTCTTAATCTTTTAAACACACATCATAATCCATTATTTTCCAATTAATAGCTTAGTATACCTAACATAGAACTATGAATTCTAATCCCGACTACTTTTTTTATTTATCCGTCAATACTTATAAATGGTCAGGTAATTATGAAAAAATCAAATTTAAAATAAGTCCAGACAACAGTAGCATTATAATCGTGGGAATCGGCGGTCGTTAGCATGCGCCCACGCACTTTGAAGACAGCCTGAATCACAGAGGTGCGTCGCACTTAATTTCTTTACGACGCGATAAGTACGAGAACAATGTTTTGATTTACATGTGGGCGATCCTTTACATCAACGCACCATTGCATGAATAGGATAAATATTTCACAAAAGTCAATACGTATTTCGAACAATAGATTTAATTATAAAAATGAAAACCCTTTTCCACAATGCTAATACTTTGGTGAGTGAGTATAAGTAAAAGAAGTGAAAAAAAAATCTACATATAGAATCTTCTTTTCTACATACAGAATGGCGTTAGTGACCGAATTGCGACGTTATAAGTACTATTATTTGTTTTGAAATGCGCACCTCAACTACAAAATACACACTAGACCCGGGCGAAATCTAACCCATTATCCAGTATCATTCAAATCGAGCATACATAGACCAACGATTTGAGACGGAGCCCCAGCAAGTAAGTAATACTAGAGCTAAGAGTCCCTTACTTCGTATAAATAAGGTCAAGAACCTCTTGAAAACATACAGCACTCCATCGTGTACATTTTCCAATAACATCCAATTACCATTGTCATTCATCGTTTAAAAAAAACACGAGTAACTGTAGCGTAATAACAGATTACACATACATAATTACAACTTAATTAACAAATTGCAAGTCAGCGTTTGAAAGGAGCACTATTAATTTTCGATATTTCTTTCGTTAATAACGTGAAACAGGTTAAATAATAGGGAAATGAAAGTTAGTTTTTCTTAGTTGTATTTTAGTTACGATCTAAATATTTTCGCTACCAAATATGATGAGGATAGGCTTTTTAATTGCATATACCTACTATCAGCGTTAATATATACTTGT